GTAGTGTAAGTTTTAGGTAGTTTACAACCTCTTTTCTTCATTTCTAGCTACACTTGCCAGTACTATGTTTACAACAATTTACTGGTATGCCGTTTAACATATAATGTGTTTATTTATTTATTTATTCGTTTATTTAGCCAGTGTGAGTACATTTGTGAGCAGAGTTTCAACTAAAATGCTGTTTAGGAACGACCAAATTCAAAGAACTTTTAGCGACATAAATATTTTGCTGAAAAGAAACATTACAACTAAAATATAAACAAATTGAATGTGGCTAAATAGACTGCTGATGACCCCACCGAGAATCGAACCAGCATCAGCTGAGGGGAAAGCAAAAACCAACTCAGACGATTTTACCACTAGACTACCAGAGGCCATTCAATAGACTGAAGTGCTGTTGTACACCACTTTTATTAGACCAGCTGTAGGCAGATATTCGCTAAAAGAAACCTTTTCATTTCGAGATATATTCAGTCTTTGTCATGTAGCAAATTATATTTATCTTGTTTAATTGGAGTATAGAACATAGCATTAACGACTGTAAACTAGTAACAGCCATAATTCATGTGGGTCAGGTCAGTTTGCGATAAAGTTGAAAACAAAAACGGAAGTCAGTGGGCTAGGCTGAGTTTGCGTGAATGGGCGGGGTGCAGCTCCGCCTTTGTGGTTTTGCAGCCAGCACCCTCTCCAAAATAACCACAGTTTTTTCCCTCAGTGTCATTTGATCTATTTCTTGGGAAGATGGATGGATGGATGGATGGAGATATATATATATCAATAATTATTTTTAATATAGCCTTTTTCAATACCAAACTTTCAATACCAAACAAAAATGAACTACAATAAAATTACTGGCACACTAAATTCCAATTCTCCTCAATGGGACTTGAACTCGCCAACTCATCTCCCTTACACTACACCAAACGAGGTGCTTTACTTGATTTGGGAGGGGGGAATAAAAGCAGTAAAACAATAAAACTTTGAACATTACAACACAAAGAGAAAATAAATAATGTTACAGCAATTGCGGAATGCCATCTGCGGGATTCGAACCCGCCGCAACGACCAACCAGTAGGTGTCAAACCATGACTAATGAGTGCAAGCCTTGGCGCTCAGGGACACCCATCAGATTGTGAGGCCACAGCACATACGTTTTAGACTGGGTGGGATTCTTATACCCAACAGGAGTCTTCTGCCCGCCTTCTCATTAGAATATGCATAATTTGTGTTTCAGGCACTAGTTAACTAGTGAGCTGCTGCACTGCCACACATGTAAACTGGTGAAATTTCAATTGTTCCACTAGTTAACTAGTGGACAAAAATGGTCAGCTTGTATGTGTTTTTAGATGCAACTAGTTAACTAGTGAGCAAATCCGCACCTCACTAGTTAACTAGTGAGGTGCAGATATGCTCACTAGTTAACTAGTGAGGTACTAGTGAGGTGCAGATATGCTCACTAGTTAACTAGTGAGCATATCTGCACCTCACTAGTTAACTAGTGAGCAAATCCGCACCTCACTAGTTAACTAGTGAGCAAATCTGCACCTCACTAGTTAACTAGTGAGCAAATCCGCACCTCACTAGTTAACTAGTGAGCAAATCCGCACCTCACTAGTTAACTAGTGAGCATATCTGCACCTCACTAGTTAACTAGTAAGCAAATCCGCACGTCACTAGTTAACTAGTGAGCATATCTGCGCCTCACTAGTTAACTAGTGAGCAAATCCGCACCCTACTAGTTAACTAGTTGGCGTTTTGGGGCCCACTAGTTAACTAGTGAGCATATCTGCACCTTACTAGTTAACTAGTGTCGCTTTTTTGCACCTTACTAGTTAACTAGTGGGCGCTTAAGGGTGCACTAGTTAACTAGTGAGCAAATCTGCACCTCACTAGTTAACTAGTGAGCATATCCACACCTTACTAGTTAACTTGTGGGCGTTTTGGGGCCCACTAGTGAACTAGTGACACTTATTTTGCACCTCACTAGTTAACTAGTGGACATTTGTACCCTCTCTAGTTAACTAGTGAGCAGTTCCGCCTTCACAAGTTTACATGTAAGTGTCACACTGAAGCCACTACTAGTTTACTAGCTGAGGTTCCTCTGGCCAGCATGTTAACTTGTGTGCCGCATGCAAATGTTTGGGGTGGGATTTTGCAAAATTCCGCACTGTGATTGGTTGTCATATTTTATTTTAACATAGTGAGCCAATAGAAAGCCTCAATTTGAGAAATTCTCTGCCTCCTAATTAGAATTCTGTGCAACTAGCTAGCTAGTGTGAATGTAGGCTTGAACTAGTTTACTAGTATACATTTATGTCCTCACTAGTTAACTAGTTTGGACAATGGATGCATCAACTAGGTAACTAGTGAGCCTGCTACAATCAACTAGCTAGCTAGTGAGTCATTAATGGTTCACTAGTTAACTAGTGGCACTGCCCTACTCCAACTACTTAACTAGTTAGGAGTTTTGCCTTCACTAGTGAACATGTTGTACACTTTGAACTGTCACTAGTTAACTAGTGAGACACAAAAACCTTCAACTAGCTGACTGGTATGCATTTTAGCCCTTACTAGTTAACTAGTGAGCCATTTTTGTGTCACCTAGTCAACTAGGAAGCCAAAATGTGTTCACTAGTCAACTAGTGGGCATTTCTTCTGTCACTAGTTAACTGGTGTGCACATTTTGGCCATCACTAGTTAACTAGTGAGACACAAAAACCTTCAACTAGCTGACTGGTATGCATTTTGGCCTTTACTAGTTAACTAGTGAGCCATTTTGTGTCACCTAGTTAACTAGTGAAGCCAAAATGTGTTCACTAGTTAACTAGTGAACATTTCCGTCTCCCACTAGTTAACTGGTGGGCTCATTTTGACCCTGACTAGTTAACTAGTGAGACACAAATACCTTCAACTAGCTGACTGGTATGCATTTTGGCCTTTACTAGTTAACTAATGAGCCATTTTTGTGTCAACTAGTTAACTAGTGAAGGTCAAAATGTGTTCACTAGTTAACTAGCGTGTACAGTTTGACCCTCACTAGTTAACTAGTTGACCTGTTGACAAGATATCAGAATTAATGCTCAAGCGGCTGGCCAAATTGGGCAAAGTTAACAAGTGGGATTTTTACATTCAGTAGTCAGCTAGTACGAGTTTTTGTACCTTACTAGTTGACTAGTAAAAACTAAATGTGTTTTAACTAGTTAACTAGTGGACATTGATCTGTCCACTAGTTAACTAGTGAACACACTGAGCAATACTAGTTAACTAGTAAGATATGAAACATTTTAACTAGTTAACTAGAGAGAATTTAGGCCTTACTAGTTAACTAGTTGACATTTAGGCTGTCACTATTTAACTAGTTGACACAAACATGGCTAACTAGTTAACTAGTGGACAGAAATGGCTTACATGTTCATGACAATTCTGGCTGATATCCTGATATCAGAATAAATGCTCATTTGGCTTGCCATAGGCATGTAGTTTTGGTAGCAATGTTATCATAAGAAAAATGACTCCACACATCTTCTCTTCTTTTTCGCCCAGCAGTTAACATTTTCCTCTACTCCTTCTTCTTATGCCGTCGATATATTCAGTGAGCTATGTTTAGCACACCGCGCATACCTGCCCCTTTATACTATTCAGGGTCTGTCTTCTGTCACGTCGTCCCGCATGTTCACGGCACGCCACGCCCCTTGTCTTCTACTACGTTCGCATCTCACAACAACACAATAGTCGCACCGCACCATAGAGCGCCATGTAGAAGAGCGCCATGTAGAAGAGCGTCATCGTAGATTTTCGTCTCGTCTTTCATTCGTTGACTAAAAGTTTCAATCAATTTAATTATCGTCTTCGTCTTTTTCCAAGCTTTTATTTTGAATTTTTGTTTCATTTTCGTCTGTAAATATATTTTCGTGACGAAAAATAAGATGAAAATATTTTGTCAACAAAATTAACACTGCTCCACATGTTAAACCAGTCCTGTTTTGAGGGTTTTGTAATTGTTGCCACTTTAGTGCACCTGTCGTTAAGTCCATGAACACCAATACAACTGAAAGTGATTAACAATGCCCTCAGCTGCTTAATCAACCAGGAAATTATCAGACAGGTTTAATGGATTTCACGCCAGGCCCAATAAAAAGTGTTCCTTTAATTCTTGTGAGCAGTGTAGTTTCTCCTCCAAATGGTTAGAAAAGCATTTGAGGATTCTAGTTATTATTATTATTTTTTAGCCCTTTAGGCCTTTTTACTTTCTTGAAAATCAGTTTTTGCAGTTTTGTGTTTTATGTAGCTCCTTTGTTAACTTTCATTACAAAAACAATGCACACCCAACCCATTTACATCACATTTGAGAAACAGAAACATTTCAGAAAGACATTTAAAATATTTATTTGAATTAATATTTTAACAAAAATTATTTAAAATTAATTTTAGAAGAGTTTGATGCATGTTTCAGTCTTCACAACAACTATAGAGATTTGTACTTGTTTTGAAAATGATGAGCAGCATTTATTTAAATGAATTCTATATTTTTATAGGTTTTACATTTATGTGTTGATAAAAAAGTGAAGATTTATGTGAACCTGAATAAGATATTTTATAATGGGGGTCTTCCCTGGGACCAGTGGTGTGGCCAGCAATTTTCTAGGCGTGGCCATGCCCCCTCTGACCACCCCTTGGGGGCACCACTGGTGAAAAATAGAAAATCTATTCTAAGTTTTCCCGCTTTTTCCATGTTATTCATTGTGATAAGATATTGACATGCTTTTATTTTTTCATATTTAATATCAAACAAATGTAAATTCTATTTTTAGTAACTTGACTACATAAAATATTATTTTTATTTACAATTCAACAGCAATACATGAAACTGGAACGATAGACGGTAAGATCAGATTTAAAAAAAGGGAATATGAGCTAGATTTTTTTTTTCAATTTTGAAAAAGTCCATAAAATTCTATATAAAAACTTTACTTGACCAGTAATTTTCATAAACTCCTACCTGCACCAACTGGCTCCAGGATGATGGGCACTGATGCTGCCTCTCCAAGGTTATTCTCCGCCTTCACGTAGATTTTCATTTCAGAGAACAGAACAAAGTTAGAGCGAGGGATGGTGTAGTGGTGGACTCCTGAAGGTAGCTCATAGGTATAATTCTTGTCTAAGTCCCTGAAATGATCACAATATGTGGGAAACTCAGTTCTACAGCCTAATGAAAATACACTCTCAGTACATGCCACTGTTTTGTAGAATTTACAGTTACCATATCTGAGTGTAGAGGGTGTATTTTGTCGGGAGGTGTGTCTCCTGCAGTCCTGGGTCCCATCTACAGGTGAGGGTGGGGCGATAGGTGAAGTTTGCCTGACAGTTCAGGTTCTGGGGGATTTGTGGTGGATCTAATAGTCAAAATAAGCGCTAAAAAGTAAGTTTTACTGAAAATTTACCCGCACATTGTAGCGCAGTCAGTAGCTCTTGTCTAGGTGTAAGCATAGACTGAAATTTGATTATGCAAAGTAGACATATTCTGCAACAAATCCCAAAAATGTTCCCTAACTGACCAGGATGCAGCGATCTGCTAAAACAAGACAATTTGTTTTTTTAACAGGTGGATAAAAACATTTTAAAATCTGATTATTTTTAATGAATACATCCATCAAACACGTGAAAGAACTCAAAATGTTCTTACATCCAGCTCGGATCTCAACTCCTGCATAGATTTGAAATGAAGACTCGTTGTCGGGTAAACAAACGCCGCAGGTGAGGACTGCCCTGGTGTGATTGAAGCTAGATACCACAACCTTAGAAACCCTGAACCTCTCATTGGCCACGGGGCTGCTGGGAATAAAGTCAGAGCCAAGACGCCACTCAATCGGAGCAGCTTGTGCGGTGACCAGAAGGCAGTCCTTTCTGATGACGCAGGTGGCGGTGACAGGTGACCCCAGAGGCACAGCCGAGCTCGAGGTGTGGACCTTCGCACATGGCTGGGTGTCGTCCTCTAAAGACGAAATAAAATCAACGGAAGTCAGAGAAATTCTGAATGAATGAAAGAAAACTTGTCTTTGTAGGGAGTGTTTAGACATTTCCATTTTGATGACTTTCTAAAAGCAGCACTCACCGTCGCTCGCCCCACCGGCAGATGTGACCAGGACGGCCGTCACCAACATCCATGAAGACAACATCATGACAAAACCTGTTGGGCAGCCAAATTGAAGTCCATGCTCTTAAATTTACAAACTTGCATGCTTTTTCTATTAAAAATAGGAGAAACATCTGAACTGCCCTGCTTTTCAAGTGATGAAGGAAAAAATTAGAAAGAAAAGTAACATCAAGTTTGATGTTGTTGCTGTTTTGCTTTGGTCTCCACGACTCTCGATACATCTGTCTTTATTTGTTGCCTCTGAATCAGTTTGTCACGGTGCTTTTGGAGCTCAGAAATGTTCACATTTATGGTTTCTTATGTTTAAAGGTCAACTTCACTTATAGTTTTAATACATTTGCAGTGGTCTCTAGTAGAAATGCATGCCTTGTAAGTAGGGAAAAAAAGCTCTGGTGCACCTGTTTGAGGACGCAGGAGTCAGCAGGAGGGGAAGTTAGCTTCAGACAGCAGTATAGAATCCAATAATGTTAAAGTAGAAATTACATATGATTTTTCAGAAATCCGTAGAAGTGATTGTCTTACTGTGTAAGCAATGCATATTTTTCTTTTCTTTGCTAAGCCTGCACCGCAGAGCTCTGTGCAATAGGAAACTGAGCGCCGACCAGAACTAACCAATGGCGTTAGCTTATGTGCTTCAAATTTAAGGAAGTACCTCAGCTGATGCAGAGTTGATGAACTTTTTACAGACAAGTAAGTCTTTAAAATATAAATATATGAAAATGCAACATGACATGAAGATAATACTTGTGAAATAATGCGTTTCAGCTTTGTTTGTCGGCTATAGAAGCACATAAATAAACAAGAATCGTGAAGTCGCCATCTTAATAAAACGGATCGACAGACGTTTTGTGTGATATGCTTGTCAGCCACTAGATGGTGCCATCGGATACATGAAATACTCCGTATAGCTGCTTTAACTGACAGTGTGATGTAGATCTGTCAGGATTTAGTGAACCGAGAGTTTTTTCATCTATTTTTTTATCAGAAGTTAATGCAGGAAATAGGGGTGGAAGACTATTTGGTGACGCTTCCTTTTACAGTCTCCTAATTACTAAGTACTTACATGGTAATTACATAGTAAGTTAAAGTGTGTTATTGTTTCTGAGTTCTTAAACTGTTCTTACCATATAACTCAGGTTCAATTCTAGTTTTTATAATTATGAGTCATTCCCAGTAAATACTGCTTTACACAATAATTGCATTTTATTCCAATTATATACTTTAATTATACAATAATACACTTTAACTTACTATGTAATTACCATGTAAGTATTTAGTGATTAGGGGACTGTAAAAGGAAGCGTTACCGACTAGTTTAACTCATTCACTGACAACTGGGCGGGCATGAACAAGCTCCCGCACCTTGAGAGTAAACATGACGGCTCTGAAATTGATTTCATCCATGTGTGTCACTCATCATGTGGTCAGGAAGCAGACAATCCATGAATTAGGAGATCGTTTTGGGATGCCACTATGCCTAAAGCGAGGCGCTAACTGGAAAAAGCTTCTGCAGCTCAAACCTCAACAGTAGATTGTGAAAGAACGGAAAACGCTAGAAACACGCTGATTCTTCCTGATGTAAGAAGTTAGTCTACTCTGTCTTTTGGTAGTTTTGGTGTTTACATGATCATAGAGCACAATATTCTGTGACTCTTAAAAAAATGAACTGTAAAAATGCTCAAAAACTCTGGCAGTCAGGGACTTTCTGTTCAGAAAACAGCTGGCAGCCTGCAAATGAAACTCGGGGTGACCGATCATTTTCACAAGCAATAAGTAAAATAACCTGGCCTTTAAAGGACATGACATCCAAAGTTCCAAAATGTGGTTAAAACAAAAGTTTTTAGATTAAACAATTTTACTCTTTGCCAGCTTCCTGGTGAGGAAATGCTAATTGTCTAGTTTGGTGTTTGGTCATGCTTTTATAGATGGATGTCTAAAAGCAGATTAAAGTAATTATCAAACTTAACTGACACCTGATGTTAAATCAACATGTTTCTTAAAAATGAATTTGAGGTACAACAGAGGAACTGGAGGCGTAGAACAAAATTTGAAGAATGTATTTTTGAAAAACTCACCATTACACAAGCTTGGATGCTTGATTTTCACAAAACTGTCATTTCAGGCAGCCAGGCTTGGACATCCTTCACAGCCCAACTGTGTGTCTGCATACAGAAGTCAGAAGAACTGAATGTATGTTGATCATTTCAACTTTGTTAGCAAAAGTTATGAATAAAAATTTTCTAAAATGTCCATTATTGTAAATTATGTAAGAAACCCAGTAGTCATATTATTTTATATTAGAAAATAAATGTGCTCTTCATGGTTAGTAGTGATTTATAAAATTCACTCAACATTTAATTAATCCAACACTTTGTTATGCGTTACATTATAGACAAGAAAACACACCTGAAATATACTAGATGTACAATTTCTTCTTTGCAGCGGTAGTCCAAATACATCCTTAAAACAACATTAAACAGCTTTTAAAAACTTGCTTTCAAACTGGTTTTAGTGGTTTTTCAGCCTTAAACTAGAGCAAATTTACGTTGAACAGCATGTGTAGCGCCATCTTGTCCCATTAACCATCAAATCAGAAGTTGAGTCAATAATCAAAGTCTGCTAAAGGTAAACATGGGTTTGAAATGTCCCTTGTTTTACTTGTGGTTGATGACTACTTTTTGATTTCTCCATCAGAGACGAGCTTTTTGGACATGTGCTGAAACCTACAAACCACACACACACGCAGTGGGACAAACTACACGTTGAGGAACTTCTAGTCTTGTGTTCTGTCTTGGTCTCACTGGTTCTGCTAACAAGCTGACAAAACAAATCCGATTTCCTCCACTCATGATGACAATTTACACAGTTTTATCAAAAGATCCAAGAGTTCAAGTCAGCTTACAAGATAAAGATTTTATAAGTAATTCAACACAGTAGCGACTACATATGTACTGGGTTTGCACCTTCAGGTGTATTTACAAGGTAACTTTATGGTATGTACAGGGTACTTGCAGATAGATATGGAGTACTTGTAGGGTGCCTAGAAGGTACTGGTACCTAAGTATCCTAAGAGTGTGATAGGAGAATGACCTGAGTATTTACAGTGTACATGTGGGAGTCTGCATGCCATATGTACCTGGTGAGTACCTACAGAGGAACAAGCAAAATACTTACAAAATGATTCCAGTGATGCATACAGGTTTACAAGTCACTTCATAATACAGTCCAGTCCTTTCTACGTGTCCTACGCTGTACATACCCCAAAACAGCCTGTAAGTACCCTGAATGAACCCATAAAGACCCTTTAAACCCCAGTACATACCCTGTCCATACTCCAAAAGTACTATGTAAGTATCGAGACTAAATCCAGTTAATATCCTCTAAGTTCCCAGTACTTACTCTGATAAACTAATTGTAATTATCCAGTACATACCCCAACAAATACCCTGCAAGTACCCTGTTCACACACAGAAACTACTCTGTTCGTACCTTTAATATACTGAGTATATACCCTTTAAGTTCCCAGTACACCAAAAAATAAATTCTAATTATCCAGCATATACCCCAATAAATACCCTATAAATATCCTGTCTATACCCAAATACTACTCTTTAAGTACCCTGAATGTACCCAGTAAATACCCTTCAAGTACTGTAACTACTTAGTCAATTTCCCTCTGAGATTTATAAAGTATTTTTGAATTGAATTGAATTGAATTAACTACAGGGGGAAAGCACTGCAGTCGGCATATGTACCCTTCAAATGCCCTCACACCCACAAGTACTCTATGAGTAATGTTAAAGTAAGTAATTTGGATGTTTAAAGTTCATTCTAAAGTTTCTCGTATAAAACAACTTGCCCTTGTGTCAGACAGTTTCACGTCTGGACCATCAGTTTTCAACAGCTCCATGAGTTCAGGGAGTATTACTTCTGATTTGTAGAATTTGTAGCTATCACTCAAGCTGTGAGATCTGCGCTCTTTGTCCAAAACAACAGAGTATTTGGTGTTTGTTATGCAACGTGACAGAAATGGAATTCTCCCATTTTCCTTATCAGCAGCGTGCAAAAAGGCCTCCATTCCCCCGCTTTCCTTTCTAGAATTCCTTCACACTACTAATGGATAATTGCCTGTGGCTGCAACAAAAGGCAGCTGGGAAAATGAGAGATGGACAGAAAGAGAGAGAGGGAGAGAGGGAAGGGACGGAGAAGGAGAAAATATTCAGCATGAAGTGTTTTTTTTTAACAAACAAAAACAATCAAAAGCACACATTCAGTCTGGCGGGCTTAAACGTGAGTATATCTTGCAGATTTCTCTTTTGTTTTTGTCTCAGTGAGGCATGTCACAATGTCTATTTCCTTTCCAGTTGCTTTTGGGGGGGGGGGGGGGGGGGGGGGTGTTACAAAAACACCCACTTTCAGGATTTGGCAATATCCTTCACACACAATGACAAACTTACCACTAGTTCCCTTTTTGGGGGACCTTTTCCTCCTACAATGCATTTAGTCTTAAACATATACATAAATATATATATACATATATATATATATATATATATATATATATATATATATATATATATATATATACATAAATATATATATACATACATATATATATACATACATATATATAAATATATACACACACATATATATCTATATATATATATATATATATATATATATATCTATATATATATATATATATATATATATATATATATATATATATATATATATATACACACATATATATATATATATATATATATATATATATATATATATCTATATATATATATATATATATATATATATATATATATATATATATATATATATACACACATATATATATATATATATATATATATATATATGTATATATATATATATATATATATATATATATACATAAATATATATATACATACATATATACACACACACACACACACACACACACATATATATATATATAATATATATATATATATATATATATATATATATATATATATATATATATAAGTATTTGTATCTATATCACTTTCTTAATGTTCAAACAAAAGGACTCTTTGTGACAGCATTTCTGAAGTCCCTCCAAATCTATGAAGCAAGACAACTTGTTTCACATCCTGTTTTAAGATGATTAAGGAACAGATTGTCTGAACTTCTCTTATCTAAAAGAAAATCTCTGACATGAACTGTCAAAGCAACAGCTCAAACGTGTCCGAAAATGAGCTTTAAAAAATAAACCGATAACACTTCATAAAAAGGATCTTTATTAATGGTGCTTAGTGTATTATTAAGCATTAATAAACAAAGGGTCTCCTTATTAATGTTATCGGTATTGATAACTGAGAGGTAAAGTGTCCTTAAGGTATGGTTAAGCAGTTGTTAATACTTTACTAAATGGTTTATTAATGCCTAATAATAGGCTAAGTGTTAATGAATGGACCGTTATAGTTACCAATAAACATTTCCAATAAAACCCAACAAAAATGCTCATTATTTGAACCACAAGAAGAACTAAGTGTAAAAATTTACCAATTATTAGACAATGGATGATAAAATTGGCATTGTTTTTAATGAAATCTTAGAATAACTTCTTCATTCGACTGTTAAGCGAGTACCTGAGGTGTAAATATAAATAAAGCTTTGATTGATTGATCGATTGATTAAGCGAGTACCTGAGTCACTTAAGAAAAGCAAGCCTTGCAAAGTTTTCATTTCCAGTCTGACACAAGTGTCATAATGAAAGCAGCAGCAAATTGCTTGATGTGAAGATAAAGGAGAGCCATCAGAGAGGCTCGCCACTCACCACCCCACAGCTGCAGCCGACCGAGGAAGACAAGAGGCTCTCATCTGCCCTGATAGCACCAGATGAAACGGTGGGGCTCAAAGCAGCTCAAATTGGAGGACATAAACGCGTGCGTGCGTGTGTGTGAGTGTGTTAGCCAAGCAGTGGCACCACCAACATCCTTGTTTTGAGTTTGATTTGTGAAACTTCACTATTTTCCAGGAAGAAGCATGTGACTGATGGGGCCCTGTTATGGGAAGAGAAAAAAAGTCGGGTGGTATGTTTTCTGAAAAATGTTTTGTTAATTTGACTTATCTGCAGATTTATTTTTATTTGCAGCTGCTTTATTTTTTAAAGGGGGCATATCATGACTTTTTTCTTCAATTGTAATACCGTATTGACCCGAACAGGACAACCCTGATTGTAAGATGACCCCCATTTCCAAGACTTCTTCAGGAAAAGAAAAAAAAAATCGCTTTTAAAATTAACTATTTTCATAGAAACTTTGAGAACAAATACTGAGCAAAAATGCTATTTTAATGCAAACTATCAGAATTTTGCTGAAATGTGAAATCAAAAGTCAAATGAGGTTTTTATTCACAGACGTCCTCTGCCTCGTTCACTCTCATGCTGCTGCGGTCTCGGTGTCCCAGCAGATCACTACACCTGGCTGCCAGCTCCCTCCGTTGAACGTCATCCTCACTGCCAGTTCATCCATGTTTGAAGCCTCTGCTGAATTGACCACCGTCATCTTAGAATTTGCATAACTCTGCCTTAGTGGCCCTACTTTCAGTCCACTCTGCTCCCGACCTCTTGTCTCCATTTTTTTCTCCTGTTGAGAACATACATCCTGGCGCCCTCTGCTGTTACGGGCGTGCAATGACCCCAGACAAATATCAGCACGCGTTACGACCCCGCATTTAAAAATTATTTTTAATGAAAATAACTCATCCTATAGGGTCAATACGGTAGTTCCGTGGCCCATACCAAGGGGTAAACTCTGCCTGTCAAATGTGAAGCCAACACGAAATAAATAAATAAATAAATAAAATGAAGTTCATCTCTCATCCACTAGGGGCTACCTCCAGAAATGAGCAAGTTCCATCTTCTTCATCTTCCACACGTCTTTGGGGGCAGGTCTGTGGCCCCGCGCACTCACTTTTGGGCACTCCTATAGAGAAACAAGAATGGACTTGGGCATTTTGAACACATGACCTGTTTGGTGGCTGTGGTTCACACTAAAAGCACTATGAATTATTACCGTGTGTTTTTCAGCAAAAATTGTTACTTTTCTATATCGTCATGTTGTTGGCGCAGTGATATTTTGGTCCTGTTGTATTTTTGTGTTAGCCCGACCTGCCAGACTCGTGCTCTGTTTAATTCTACACAGAGCACTAGTCTGGTTACTCACAGGCAGAGAGGCACACGAGGGGCGGGACTAGCCAGCTCAAAAATAACCAATGAGAAAAAAGGCGGAAATTCCAACTGTGCCGCGCGACGCTGTAGTTTTTAACTGTGGTCAAAAATAGTGTCTGCTCACAGCGCAAACATTTTTTCTTGGAAGAAAGGCTTTTAGCGCTTCTACTTGTTGTGGTTTTAAAGACCTTATAAATAAGGTCCAAGTCATTTAGAACAGAAAGAGCTGCAGTGAACTCCACTTCAGATGCCATTTTCATTGTTTATGAGAAACTCAGCGTTGAGGTGTGCAATATAGTAAAAATTACATCCTGTGCAGGGTTTCCCCCAGAAAATGAGTTAAGCCTGGCGGCTTCGGCCGTCAGGGGGGAATCGCGTGCTCCATCCCGCAACGCTCCTTCGTGAGAGCGGGGGTGGGGTGGTTGCACATGTTCCGCTGCTGTTTCTCACCAGTATCAGCTGATGGAGGGCTCTAGTTTCGCTGCACCGTTCGTGTCAGCGGATCGCACGCTCCATCCCGCAGCACTCCTCTGTGAGAGTGGGGTGGGGGTGGGGTGGTTGCACACGTTCTGCTGCGGTTTCTCACCAGTATCAGCTGATGGAGGGCTCTAGTTTCGCTGCGCCGTTCATGTTAGCGGACACGGTAGGGTCGGGGAGGGGGGCGGGGCATGACGCTTGGCCTGGCGGCTGGGCAAGCAAAGCCTGGTAGCCCACCAGGCTTATAAAGCGCTGCGGGAAACCCAGCTCTGGTAAAATTTGGCTACTGCAACCACTATAAACTACTCTGGAGCTTTTTGTCAGCCATCATCAAATTACAACTATCGGCGCTGCAGTATTAGCTTGCAGGAGACACGGCCACCCCACACTCACAGATGGTAAGTTAGGTCCCTCCTTCCTTTGTTTTCAAAGCAGAAAAACTGACAAACCCTCGCAGTCAGTTGGATAGGAAATAAGTTTCAGTATAGCCTTACTTCCAAAATGACTGAAACATTAGACTCTTTAGAAACTTCCTCAAAGTAAAGTTATCACCATATTTGTACATATTGCACCTTTAAAGTTCCACCTTCACAGAAGAAACATGTTAACAGTCTGGTTCAATCAACCGTTTTAGGTTGAACAGGTCGAGTTTACTCTGATGGTGCGGATTTTTTGTAACTTCTATCTCATTTTGATTGACAGGGAGCAGATGAGCTGTCAGTCCAGGGGAAGAAAATGTGTTACAGCCTAGAAGGCTGGGTAGCAGAGTCGCTCAACCACAGTTTTCTGGCCTACATTGCCTACCAACGTCTGTTAGATTTAGTTAGCTCAGTTAGCTCATAACCACATTGGCTCAGAATTTAAAGGGTGTCAATCATCTGCCCCGCTCTCAGCTTCATTTGTGAATTTTCCAGGAGTGACCGCTGTGTTTTTTGGTGTCTGGATTTTAGTGATGGTGATTTTAAAGCAGCGGGAATGGTGCTAATTGCACTAATGCCAGTTGTTTTGGGGAGCGTCTGCTGATGCAATTTCCTTCAAATTTACAACCAATCAGCGTGAGTAAGCCAAACGTTCTGCTTAGCTACTGTACCGGTCCTTTCCGAGTATCTGTTCAGGTACTCCAAAAGTTCCTGAAAATAGCCCAGAAAATGGCCGGTTCGACTGGCCCGGTGAAGTGGAGACACAAGGTTAACCTGACGTCTAATTTTAATAAACAGCTTTTCTCTTAACATTTTCAACACCTTCCAGAAAAAGCCATTTCAGCTGGAGCTGGCCATGCCCACCCATCCCCCACTCGGGCTGCTACAAGGTGAGAAGGCAGATAACTGGGAGGGGCTTGGAGTAGAGGCGCTGCTCCTTTAGCAGCAGCTCTGTCTTGCACGACAGATGGTTTTATTCTACTTTAATGGGGACTTTTTAGAAAGACTTGTTTTCGGGCAGACTAGTCCTAAAATCAAACACTGACAGAAAAATTAATGGATTTTTTTTCACGTTCTAAGTGTTTATAAAAGCAGTAGAGTCCCACATGGCAGCACAAAAAGATGCAAAATGTGACTTTTGTGTAATATATTCTCTTTAAGAAGTTATAAGAATTATTAACTATGAAAACTAAACATCCATCTGTGATTGAGTGGGGTGTCTAGTTTCACTACTTGATTAAATGAGGTTTTTCACCTTCGCGCAGCACTTTTTCAACACCAGCTGTCAAAAGCCCCACAATAGGAGAGCAGGGAGCCCACCTTTAACGAGATGTGGTAATTTGGACCCTTTTGTGTAGGAAGTGGCATTTTCAGACCTGCTGTATCACTAAGGCTACCGTGACATGTAGTCACCTCCCTCCTGAAGCACCTCCGCACCTTCATCAGCATTGTAACCAAACAGCCTTGCACGCTGTGTCTTAATCCTCCCAAGGGCGCTGGAAACTGGTTGCCATGTCCCATTTATTAGCTTGTTAAATTGTGAGATGATTCCATTGATGAGGCCTCATTTCAAACAGAGAGCCAAGCGTGCCAGCGAGCTCAACCACTAAACTTTTTAATCTAGCAGCTGCATCGCTGCTCGGTGACTAAGCCTCACTCGGAATCATAATGGAGGCTAACGCTTAATCAAGAGGCCGCCGGAGGAGGAATTAAAGACACGTGGCGGGCCGTTTCTGAGCAGGAATCAACAGGAGATGGGAAAGTAGGCACTAATTAAAAACACATTAACTGGTTATCATGAGTTGACACCTTTTGCTTGATCTTATTTCCTAATCAGCAGTAATTTAACAAAGTGTTCTCCATCCACTGGGTTTTACACGCAACGTTTCAGTGAGCAGTAAAATTAGCTGAAGGTCCCCGAGCTAAGCCTGAACTGATGAAGCTTTGCTAGGTTTGATTACGGCTCCTGTGCTGTTTTCAACAAAACGCCTCTCTAGATCCTTATTCAGTTCACAGATGTGGTCGTTCTTAAACTAGTCACTGCTGAAAACAGAATTTAAATTTCATCTGTTGCTGCTCACGCTGTACGCATTCCTGTTCAAACGTAAGCCCCCAATTAATCTCATTATAAATACACGACGACTTGCATTCACTCGCCACTTTATTAAGTACACCTGATCAATTTCTTGTTAACACAAAGTTTTTCAGCCAATAAAGTGGCACAAACTCACATTTAGGCGTCTAGAAGATGACTCAAAGTGGAGAAGAAAGAAGATTTTAGTCACTTTGAAGGTGGTTGGGATGCGGTGCCAGACAGACGGGTCTCAGTCTGCAGCAGTTGTGTGAATAAAAATGTCTTTTTGATGTCAGAGGTCAAACAAGAATGAGAAGAATACTTTTTGATAATAGAAGCTCAAATAGCTGCTTGTTTCATGCGTTTTAGCCGAGGTTGGCAGCATAGCATCTCTGAACTCGTACATGTTGAACCATGAAACAAATGGACTACAGTGGCAGACAACCACACCAGGTGTTACTCTCGTCAGCTAAAAACAGGATACCGAGGCTACAAATTCACAGTCGACCACTAGAACTGGACAATAGAAAGAAAATGCTCTGATGAGTCTCAATTTTAGCTGCAACATTCAGATGTTTGGGTCAGAATTTGGAGTTAAATGAGTGATCGCAAAACCCAATGAAGGCTGAGTTAGACTCAGGTGGGTTTGAGCAGGAACTTATGAAATACATTACTTGTCTTTTAGTGCTACAAGGTTATTTTTCACACGTGTGCAGTATGACATTGGCTTTCAGCTCCTTTCAACCTCCTCCTCTTCTTGTTAACATCATGCTATGATGAGACAATGTGTGGTTTTTAC